CGTCGGTATAATTCGCCATTTTATTTGAGTGTGTTTGCCACCCGGTGACGTCATCATGTGCGCTATAAAAGGAGGTATGTGATTCGTTGACTAAAATCGTTGAAATCTCGTTACATAGGCGTCGGATCAGATGTAGGTAGGGCGGAATTAAAAAAAAATCACAAAATCAAAATCAAAGTAAAATAATGAGATAAAAGGGCATTAATAACATAAGTAATAAAAAATAAAATTAAAATAAGTTTATAGCCAAAATAATTAAAGCCCGTACACTACATCAGATTTTAATCAGATTGGCCAAAGCCTTGCCTATATTTTACCTATATCTGCAGAAAAAATCAAGACGACTACACAAATTGACTCCATTTACGAATAATTAACGGTTTGCCCGAACGCACGGCACAGTTGGAGGCGAAGAACCAATCACGAGACTGGTTACGAACCAGTTGAGCAAGGCTAACTGGTTCGTAACCAGTCTTGTGATTGGTTGTTGACAAACGCTGAATAGGCCACGCCTCCAACTGTACCGTTAAAATTTCGTCGCCATGTTGGACATCAGCAGACGCGTTGTACTAATAGTAACCGTGGTTGAATCCAAACTCGTTCTCTCACCATCTAAACACTTCTTGTAGTAGGTGCCACATATTGCCACAAACACGTTGCTATGTAAGCCAAATGGCTGCACTGACTCACTATAACAGACACACGCGGAATTATGCAAATGTTGTACACATAAATACATACATAAAAGTATTATTTCAATAAAACCCAAACTTGTTTTAGATTGCTATATAATGATAAATATATATTTCTAATATAAACCTTTATTTATATTCACATGTTTTGATTGTTTCAGGTGTTCAGTACTTCTGCGAAATATTTAAAAATTGGTGGTGTTTTTTTTTCAATTTGTTGCCCATGATCATACTTTAGACACTTTTATTTATCACATGACTGTGACATTCTAAACTTACAAATTCACATGACCAGAAAATTATATTATTTTTATGGGGACTATATCTTTCATGTCACCAATATATGACAACGAAAATATAAGTTCTTGTTTTCATAACCCTATCACGTGTCAGGTGATTATATTAAAAAAATGACGCAATATTATTAGGAACAATTTCATAATGCTAAGCAAAGCATGATAAAATTAAAACACATTTCCAAAAAAATATCCGAGATCTTAGAAATGAATATGTGATAAAACGTTGTGAATGATTGATTCCAAATTGTGCATCAATCCAATTGAAGCGGGAGGGTCGTCACCCGCGAACGCGCGAAAATTGAGTCCCAAGCGACGATAACATCACACGCTAAAAACACAAAGGCTCATGGGTAGACGCTTGTTTGTAAACAATGACACGCTATGGCCGTCTGTCGCATGCGCAGGCGACGACTCCCTCGCTTTAACATGCTTTGAAATCTGTTACACTAAATTCGCTAATTACACACAGTTTTTATAAACTGAATTCTCGCAGTGCTCGTTCCTGTGCTATGTATCTGCGTTGTTCTTTAGTTAATGATTCTCCTTCAATGGCGTAATTCAAATCGTTTTCGTCATCTTCATCTTGCTCACTGCCATCCAGCTCTCCAGGAGATATTTTGTAAAGAATTATTATGAAAACAAAAATTAACACTATTCCGGGAACGATTGCATACAAACCGACGTTGACTTTGTCAAAACCTGTCAATAAACAAACAAAAAACAAGTCTCATTTGTTGTATATTTCCTTTCTTATACATTGTACTATACGTAACATTGATCCATTCGTCACCGAACACCAATTCGTTATGTTACAGAACGTAATATAGTTTGCACATTGGCTATGTTAGTTAACTTGGACAACGTTTTTAATAGGACAAGCAGTAAGCTACCCGCATTTCAAAATTATAAACAGCATTTAGCAGTGAGTGAATGCAAGCATAATGACATCAAAATAAATGCCCCAGTTCATATCCTTAGTTAGAATCATGATTTAAAACCATTTGACACGTTTGTCATATTTGACACGTTTGACACATTTGACACACAAAATGTTCTATATACTGTAAAACATGTTGAAAAAGCGACATGCAATTTTAGCGAATTGTGGTAAAATGACGTAATAGTGAAATGCTGATTTAGCGAATCTCTCTTGTCACTGTTGATTTCCTGTTTTCACAATACTTGTCGCGCGTCAAAACAAATGCGCAGTTATCACCTGTCAAGTGTAATTAGGAA